GTATAGGCCATCACTCGAAGTTGCAGAATCGATTGAAAGGTGTTATATGATCATGACCAGTTGACAGAAGCTGCATTGTAGTAAACACATTTCGTAACTCCTATAGCCTGAAGAACAGCTTCATTTGCCCAGGGCCCTTCACGGTTGTCGTTTTTTGCGACAGCGTCCCTAACAACAGTGTCATTCTCACCGAGGTATTTATTTATTGCATGTGCTTTAGGCACATGAGAGAATACAACTTATCCAGCGGAAAAAATCAAAAACAGGTACCTAATACTGAAAAGAGCCTCCAAGGCAATAAAAGAAACGACAAACAAAAAAAAAAGGAAAAAAGAGGGTGATTCTCCACGTCATAAGGCCTCAACATGTCTCATTTCAGGTAACGCCGCAAGATAATTCTGAATTGAGCTAGTACTTCTAGGCAGAACAATTTTTTAGACAATTATGAACTCGGTAGCTGCTCTTGACGCGAAGAACTTGGCCCTAATATTCGTCCTAGGTCGTGCAACAAAAGCTTATCTTTCTCCCTCTTGTATTGGTGTCTCGAATGTAAAGAAAGTCTTGAAATTTGATATCTATTTTCCCTGTGAGCATCTTAAAAACGAAGATTAGATCGAACATCTTCCTCCTGTATGAAAGAGAGTCGATACCTAGCATTTTATTTCTGATAATTCCCTGGGTATCGCTTATTTTGGGCGGAAGTGGTGTAGTGACAAGTGGCGCGCTCACCACGCGAGCGGTCCGGGATCAAATCCTGGGTCGTGAGTCGCCCGGGCCAACCAAGCCTTCCATCCCTCCGGGGTCGGTTAATTGGTACCAGACTTGTCTGGGAGGATAAAAAACAAACTGACTTGACATCGGCTGGCCCCCGCAAGTCATTGTATAGGCCACATCGCATTCAAATGCCACTGCGAATGTACAAATGGAAGTAGAATGCGTGCCGCATCCCAAAAGGGATTGATCAACGGCAAATGCTTTATCCTTTATCCTTTATCGCTTTATAATTGAATAAAGAGCTCGAGTAAGATTTTCGGGTAAAACTGTTCTGCACGGATTCAATTTTCCTAATGTTGCTTTTAGAATGCGGAAAGAAGACACTAGTTCCGTACTCTAAAATGGGACGTACATATGTTTTGTAGGCTTGAGAAGAATGCATGGGTCTCTAGTGAACAACTCCTCATGAGTAAAAAGCCTCCGCCTTCCTGCTTTGCTTCTAGTGTAAGTGCTTAGGCGGAATGCGGTGTAGTGACACAGTGGCGCGCTCAAACGCGAAGCCGGTCGGCGGAATCAAATCCTGAGGTCGTGAAGTCGCCAACGCAACCAGGACTTCCTCCATCGGGAAGTTATTACGTGTCTGGGAGGATAAAAACACACTGACTTGACATCGGCTGGCCCCGCAAGTCATTGTATAGGCCACATCGCATTCAAACGCCACTGAATGTACAAATGGAAGTAGAATGCGTGCCGCATCCCAAAAAGGGATTGATCAACGGCAAATGCTTTATCCTTTATTATGCCTTGCTTTATCGTAATATGCACGAGGCTTGATGCGAAAAAGCTTATAATTTTTGTCAACAACAATACCCTTACGGGTCTTTAACTTCATCAGCAGATATTGACGATGAGCTCTTGCCTTGATATAGACGGAAATTAATTCATCTACGGTCGTCAGAGTGAAGCATCACGAAAATTTCTCATTCGCCAGAGGGAAACCCAACTTGTACGACGACCACGTGCGCTTAACACACATCGATTGCCTGTTGTATTTTAGTGGAGTCATCTAGGGTTGAGACTGCCCTGTAGATTTTCAAATCAAATCAGGTATCAAGGGAGGAGAAGCGGGCGGGAGATGGGGGAGGTGCCTTGGCCGTGTTCCTTGCGGGAATGCACTCCCACCTTCATTTTCGTACTGCTTTGAAATACATGCTTCATAAGAGCAAGAAGGAATGGAACGGGACTGACTTACAAAGAAAATATTTTATATTATGCTTTCTCATCATATGCTTGTTTTTGCTGCGCTACACCTCTTCGCCATCTGCACCACTGCATCCAGTTGAATGATACGACCCGAGGAATACGACCCTCGACAGCCTGACAGACGGACCATTGTGAGAATATCCATCGACCTATAATACCCTGGGTTGCGGATTAGATCAAAGATCGTACTCTTTCAAGTCACAGCAAGCTCTCAAGGGGTCAGACAACGCACAGCAACCACCAAGCGCGCGGCGCGGCAAACCTAGTTGTTACAAAGGTATGTATTTTCTTTGCCTTTTCTATACGGTGATGTGATAGGATCATTGTCTTTTTCCTAAATTGAATTGAAAAATATTTTTTGTTTCAAATTAGGCGAAAGAACCGTCATCACAGGGATGCCAATCCTCAAGCTGAATGAGAAAAGTACAGGTCGCCATGTCGAGGAATTTCAAGAGAAGTTCGCATATAAACTACAAAAACAAATAACGCTCGAACCGCTTCGTAGGTGCATGACCATCTCAAATAGAAAATTTGCGAATTTGAGGGCTACATCCACCACCAAGGCAAATATCGAATGCAGAGATGTTTTTCCTTTTGAAATTTTCGTAGTCCAAAACAAAAAAAAGTGATTCAAAGGAACACCTGGGCACTTTCAAAGTCCAGAAGCTCAACAAGAACGAAACCACATGTTGACTCTTGTGCTACTGACTTATACTGTGCTTTTTTAGGAGAATCATTCTCAAGCCAAAATTGGCGGAGAATTATTTTGAGTCTAATCTCGATTGGGTTTTCCGCAGGGTGAATAGGTAGAAGCAAGGCAAACTGGAACCATTAGAATGATACAGAGTGTCTTGGAGAGCGCGTTTTAGCAAATTCAGGAAATCACTCCAAAACTATCATATTACGTGCCCCATTGTGCACCTTCGCTCTTTCATCGAAGCAGGGTCAACTATGTTGCTATTTACAAGTTAGCAACCAGGCAGGAGTCGTATTTTGATGCAGTTTGGAGGAGGGGGCGTCGCTACTTGCTCGCGTTGTAAAAGTGGTGTGATATGCACGGATGAGGGAGCGGCGGACGTAAGAAATTTACCGTTCAGCGGTTATTCATCCATATACCCTAAAAATGTGAGGAAAAGTGGGCCTTTATGCCCAAGTATATACCCCCCCCCCGGCTCGACGGTAATTTTCTGGGCGTAACATTTGTTGTTGAAGGGCGTTGGCCGTTAAAAAATTTTTTTTTCATGAGTGAGGGGGTCGGAAAAAACTCTTTGAAAAGTGTGCAAACGGATAGGACGACCCCTACGGAGCCCTGTATAGCGAAAAGGTGACAGATTACAACCCAACTAGTTTTGCGATTACGATACAAGTGGGACCAAACAAATTCCATTGAGCGTTTTTGGTTTCATAAAACGCCACAAACCCGGCCCGGGCTATATTCTTATCGACGTATCACGTCTCAATTGCCATAATATTGGCACACCCTGTAGAGCCTATTCACTATCTCTTCAAGGAAATCGTCCCCGGAAAATTCAGCGTACAAAGCTCAACGCGAGAAGATTAACTTTCAGTAATACATTTATGAAAACCACACTCACGTGGATGACTGAAGGGTAACTCATGCGACGCTAAAGGCAGGGTATGGAAAGGAATCGATTTCAATTGTCGAATTTAGAGAATAGAGGCAAAACGATCTTGCATAGGATGCAGTAGAAAGAGAAACTTCATTGCCACAGGTAGAAAAGGCCAAAATATCCCGGCGAAGCTTTCCGAGAATCACGCGGGATCCTTCCCGTCAGCACATTTGTGACAGATGTGCGCGGGAATTTCAACGCATAACAGCCCTTCCGGTTTTTCGAATTGTTTACCAAAGCAAGCGCCTTTTTGTCCTCTTCGTTCATAACGCGAGTGAGAGGTCTCAAGCGAAGTGATTCATGAGGAATAGCATAATGGATTTTTTTTGGTGGAGATTTACTCAGTTTGCAAATCGGTCAATATCGGTAATTGGAATGTGCTGTGTATGAATTCTTGTTTAGCGTTGCTTCCGTTACTTGTGCATGAGGCGCAATGCGACTTATTAACTTTGCACATTTCAACTTTTCCCGAATTTTGCGAACCCCCCTTTTAGGGGAGTCTCGATACGACTCCCACCATAGGTCTCAGGAGGCTCCCTCAAAACGCACCCCTCCTTCCTACCCCGATTACCACCCTCACCACCATGACCGTTTCTACAGGATTTGACTTAGACCGACAGTCAACGTACCCCGCCCACTTTTTCACTCCAAAACGACCGTCGAGCAAGGGAGGGGAGGGGAGACCACGTACTAGCAGCAGATCCTCCAATATACCAATTTTATCTCATTCACCCTACTTTCACGGAACTTTCGAACATACTCGCCGAGAAACCTGGTGAATAAAAGCTCCTTTTTACGACCCCCACTCGCACTTTTCCAGAGGTTATTAATTTTGCTCAACCCCAAAATGCGATCACCCCTTTCCAAAATCAGAATTTCCCCCTCCCCCCTCGTTCGAATAGTGCGAAGAGACGGTTGATGCTGGCGCCAGCGCCAGCCTTTGCAGTCATGCGCCATATTAATGCTTCTCGCACTTTTTACAGTGTTCACACTGTCTGCATATTCCGCACCGGCGCCAACCTTGATGGATCACTTGGGGCAACAACTATTCAACAAAGAATATTTATAATAGTCAAGTGAAATTAACAGTTGCATGGTACAGACAATTTCAACATCTACATGTTTTTTTTTCATAGAAATAACCCGACTTAGAAGCTCTCAGAATGCATGCACATCCTTATAGTGTGTATGTGGAGAAGATCCTATCCAAGAGAGATTAACCGGTACAGTCATAAACCGAATACATTTGATATCCTATGGAAATATATTGTGAGCTAATTTTAAAAACAGCTCTTTTGAATAGAAGGAAATGACCCGATCATGCACCGTTTTCGTCGGCTTCAGAAAGTCGTTGAAGTTTGACGGTCCGGCACAGTTGGTCGATAGCCACCATTACATGCTGAAAAGCACGAGTCCGTTACCAATACCTGCTGAAAGAGTTCATATAAAAAACCTAAAGAAATGGCCTTCTGAGATTATCCCTATTGCCAACAGGAAAAAAGGGGTGCCTAGAATAAGTGCCTTGGCTAAAAGACACTGCAGCCGCATTGGACAGCATTCCATGCAGTAACGGCAACCGAAGTGTTTCCACTGCCGCCCCGCGGCGCCGCAGCCACGCACCAATCAGTCTATGTTTAGGCTGCGCTCCGAGTGAGACAGCCACTGCCATCTCCACCTCCTCAAGCCACCCTCAGACGAACGTTTTTCCTATATCATGTTGATTTAGCGCATTAAGACGGCAGTCACAAAATAGCGCCAACTCCCACTCGCGCCCTATCGTTCTCTCTGCCAAAACAGGTCGAGGCGGAGTGGGAGGGGGGAGGGAAGTGAGAAGGGGTAATTGGTACCATGAAGCGGCAAATCGATAAATTTTTAAGTTGACCCTATCTCAGTGAAACTTTCGCGGCAAGTTCCCAATGATCATCGAAAAACCGACGTCCACAACCGGACCGCTTTTTACGACATCGCGTTACACTTTTCCGCAGAGGTAGCTAGACGGCTTAACTGCTAATCCAAAGATGTGACCGCGCCTTACAGAATAGTCAACAAAGCGCGAACCGAATCAGTGCGATTAACGAACCGGTGGGTGCCTAGCATCCCTAGTCCCAAGGAATCAACAAAATGCTTTTATTACGTCGCAGCGTTCATTGGCTTAGCAAAGGAGACTTCGGCGACTGGCGTTTGGCAGAGCTAAGTCTGGCAAAGAACAGCTGCAATAAAATGCTTATGCACAAATTTCGAAGAATTTGAATGGCAGGGGCGGATTCCACTGACAAGGGACTGCTCGCACACTTTGACATTGCTTTCGCTAAGTCGTGGGTACCGCTTACAGCAAAAGACGCTCGACTCTCAGCCAGCAGAAGAAAAGCAGTAAAGGATATTGGCCGCATATCTCAAGATACGGGGGCATCTTGGTGGTGGCGCATTTGAAATCGCGTAAAACATGATCCTTCTGTTGAAAACGGTACCAAGAGCTAGGCGGGGAGGAAAGACTCCACGGTGCTTTAGCTATTTTCATTCTCCCCGGAATTCCTGTACCCTACTAGACTTAGTTTTTGAGGATGTCCCTGTATATTGTCATAGCGCCGGTTCCTCTGTCCAACTAGGAGAGGAACCGGCGCTAACACGCAATATGAGGGACATGTCCTTCTCTTCATGTCGAGCTACCATATCTATGGTTCAGGAGCGTATATGAAACGGAATAACAGCATTTGCAAGGCGTTAAAGCAATTTGTGATAGTTTTACAAATTTCACTCCTCACCCCCCTCCCGCCCCCCCCATCCCTATGGGTAATCGCGTTACAGTGCAAGCGATGACCCAGTTTCTGCTTCCCGTCGCAATTGGGGCATCCTGACCAGGGTGAATAACGGTCGAGGAATTCCTCGACCATGGCTCTCTACTGTGCGAGAGTAGTGTCGAGAGTGAATGAATGCGCGGAGAGCACAGACGGCTCGCGGGTGGCGAGAGTGAGCATCCGCGTGGGAGAGCGTGAAAGAAATCCTCGACGAGCCGTTGTCTTTCCTCAAGCGATTTTCACCCTGATCCTGACCCATAGCCTAGGAGGAGATATTCACAAGCGCAGCAGGGAACCGAGTCAAAGCAACTTCACGACTGACCTTTTTCCTTGACGTCATCCTCGTTGATGAGCATCATTCCCGTGCTACTGCTCAGCTCATCCTCGCCTGATGACTCATCCGCTTGACTATTCATCCTGAAATAAAAATATATTATTAACAAGTCATTCATCATTTCACTATCAATAGCCAACGGCGGAAAAATCACATGGCAGCACAGATGGGCTAAGACGGAGAGGTTCACTCTCTGAATGTCGCCTCATTCGCAACATAGTATACGTTGTAAGCGTCACACAAAAGCCGTGTGTCAAAGCGGGAAGAGTGAGTCGTTTCATAGAAATGAAAAACACGCACACAGTGGATGTACCGTGCTGAATACGAGAAATTTTTTTACTGTACTGATATTGAGCAGGAAGAGAAGTTTTGTCGCTAAATATCACTCGAATTCTCAATGCCTTACGAGAAAGTTCGGAGGAGTGTTACGGACATACTCGGCTCCATTTTCACTTGCTGGTACGTCATTCGGTAGAACGATTTTGTGTCCACGTGCATGATGCTTCAGAAGGAACCGGACACAGTCCTCATGATGGAAGCTACGAGCGTCGTCAAGCGGAGTTCGACCCCATCTGGAAATATAAGTATGACATCCTGTTTGAGAAAAATGAGTAAGAGCTACATTTCGTGATCGCAGCGGAGCACTGCCAAGCAAGGTTAACCGTGGCTAGCCGATTTTAAGATTTTCACGATCCCCCTTCCCTCTCCTCTTCCTCCTCACGAACCCTGCACCAGCAACATCCTTGGAGAGATCCTCTAAATGCACCTCCCCCTCTGTGCAGGTGTGTAGACGAGGTGTCAATCAACCGGTCACTGTAGTTCTAAAGCAACATGGAATCATAGAGCCGACGCGACCCTCTGTTCGCCACTCGGGCCGGGGCTAAGATGGGTTGATAAGGGTCGTCGGAGCTAATACACCTCTCATAAAGTCGATGTTTCCATTGTATTCGATTTAGAGACATAATGAAGTTCAACCCGCCTCTGAACGGAGACTGATTCGGCCAAGTCTAAATGCTTGTTCGAGATTTTTGGACAACTCCTATACAACTCTCTCCTTCACAACACCCGAACGACCCTCAAATTCATTACGCGAATCCTCCACACCAAATACGAAGAGAATCCCCCCCCCCACCCATAGACTTGATGAAAGCTTCCTTATTATCGGCAGACATGCGAAGTAAACACCGGGCTTAAGTTCGACGAACAAGGCTCTATTCCTTATGCGCGTATGTGGTCCGCTATGGACAGATTGGCATTTAGTTTCCTCCCGCAAACCTGACTCATACGCCTCAATAACCCATAACCGGAATTGGGAAAGTTCTTTTGGTGGCCCCCCTTTTTTTTTTGCCGCCGCCGCCCTGGACTATTTTAGAGGTCATCGACAAACTCTAAACGACTTCTGTACTCGGTATCGTACCTGTCTCGTGGCTGATGATTTACTTTAGCGACGTTGACGAAGAATTTCACAAGGTGCATGTGTCCTTCAGCTGCAGCCACGTGCAACGCCGTCCGTCCATCATAATCGGCCATTTCGAGGTTAGTGCCTTGTAAATACATCCTAAATTAAAGCGTAGCTTCAAAAAAGCTGAAAAGTTGAAGGTATGTGAGTCTTTAAAATTCATGGGTTTCACTAATGGGAGCCTAAGAAATGAAAAATTTGGAAAAAAAAGAGTGTGGGGCTCTGAATTGGCAGAATCGATAACGGTCTTTCAATCCTGTGATAATTTTTACGGGGAATAATCCTGAGCCGTTTTCTAACTGTGCGCGTTCTGTTCTTCCCATTATGATGATTATTTCTACCGATTATTTCCTCCAACGTCATGCTGATGCAATCGCTAGCCGGATTGAAGGCTGTTTCTCCCCCGCGAATTGAACACCGCAATCCCTGGAGAATGTCAAGCGGGCGGTTTTACAGCTCGTAAGAAGTATGGCAGATGGGATTCCACCAGTGAAGCAAAGCGTTCAGAGCACAGCAAAAACATGGAAACGTTAGATGGCGAGGCCGCGAAACAGCCTATAACCAAGGATAAAGCTGGAACATAGGCGCTCGTACACGTTTTAGCTTATTACAGATAAAAAGTGATACGTATACTTTTCAGGAAAATAACTGATGCTGCACATCTTCGGACGAGAAGGACCATCGATGTGAGGTTCGACACTCATCTTTTTTCTTTGCCAAATGAGCTGTGAATGAATTTCAAAGGCAGTGCGTGCCATGGCTTGGAGGGGATGGTGGAGGGCATTGAAAGCGTCCAACAACACAATGGTGCAACTGGGACCGGCCTCCTCAGCAAACGCTTCCACCCAATCCGTCTTTCGAATAGCTGTGGCTCACAGCCGGGTACTCCCAGGAGCCCGTCGGCGGAAGAGGCGAGTTAGCAGGCGAGTGCGCGGTATTAGTGGAATCGCATCAAAATTAAGAGCAGAATGTCCCATATGCACGCTATCTTATCAGCACATCACCGCTGACGACTCGTCCACGACTCCGGCTGCTTGATGCGCGATGGGCTCCGGAGTACCTTCCGAGCCGTCAAACCCATGCCCGACACTTAGCTTGGTACGCTTATACCTTCTTAGAGACCGTATAAGGGTTGAAAATTAAAAGCTTCACCATATCATATATAAGGAAGCACAGATTTTAACAGTAACTGGTGCCCCGTCCCCCCCCCCCCCCCCCCACCCACCCCCCCCCCTAACGATTTGACGGAGAGAACGGAGCAGCTCGTGCATGTCAAGGGCCTCCATTGGCGCTAGATCGAAGCGTAGGGGCAATAGTGGTGGTAATGATTTCTGACAGCGTAAAACATCTCACTAATGGTAAGTCTGTGGTGGGGAAAAAGACTTTAGTGCGTGAGCGATTTCCATTTCCCCAGAAGTTTCTGCCCCCTACTGGGCTTGGTCCTAGGGGATGCCCCGTATCCTGTCATAGGCCCCTCCATATGTTTAGTTGATTACTTACTCATTTACCATAAAGTTCTTATACTTTTCATTTATTTGTTTATAGTTAGGAACAATAGACTGTTTATAAAAAAGGCCTTAGGGGGCAAGTGGCTTAGGTTACATTATCAGGACTTTTGGTTGTAATCCTGATAATGTAACCTAAGCCATTTGCTCCTTAACGAAGTATGTTCAAAGCGCTATCAAATGGCAACTTGGAAAGAGGACGAACGCATGGCGCATTGGAGCAGCCTTGCTAAACTGCTTTGCTTTTGAACTACAAAAAGAATTGGACAAACGTTTCAAGAATTCAACAGGGATCCTATAAAGATCATCATGGATAGGTTCTAATAAGGGTATAGGGTTCTGAAAAGTTCAGCAGTTAGATCGATAATGTTGCCACCAACCTTCGCACGACATCAAAATCGCCATATTTGGCAGCGAAAAGCAGCGAGACGACGATTTCGGTGTCTCGATTGCCGATCCTCCGTCGAGGATCGTGTTTCTTTGAATCGGCGTGTAACAGACTGTCATAGTTGTGGAAGTTGAACGATTCAATCAGCTTCTGAAATAAAACACGGACCTTTCGGCTTACGTGACCCAGATAGTAGCTGGTAACCCACCTGACAGAAGGCAACTCCACGTGCTGAATTACCCAACCTGTCCAGTGGTGGCGAGTAAAGAGCGATACCCATTAGATTTGGAACAACAACGATCATCACTCCAGAAACGCCAGATTTCGCCGGCAAACCGACCTAGAAAGGAAGTTGCTATATTTTTGTCTTTAAGAGTGCGCCATGTACATGTTTTCCGTTTTATATCGTCAAGCCTAGTAGAGACTGCATCGATTGGCAGGTCCTCTTGGATTAGGAATGGGCCATGTTCGAAACTCTCTTATGAAAAAGGAAACATTTCTTCATGAAGAAGAGACTTCTAGCAGCAATCAGCTTATTCGTTTATAAACTTTTGCGCTGCATGGGCGCAGTGGTACATGCACTTGCTGGCCCTAAGGCCAAGCTCAACTCTAAAGGAGGGCTTTGGTTGAGCTCGTAGCAGAATGTTGGGATGAGTTTCCATCGGCTTTAAAGGCCGGGTCACGATTGGGTCCTTACTGAAATCTCTAGTTGGATGAGAAGGGAGGTTCCCTAATCACTGGTACTAGTACTAAGCGACTTGAAAGTGCGCAACAAAGGAGCCAATGTCTTTGCTTGACCGCTGCGACCGCTGCCATTCTTACCAAGCGGACACATGGGGTTTACGCTCCTCGCTCGTCAACATGCTATCGCGTTTTCTCTTCGGGCGCTGTGTTCTTCGACGTACTCGGTTGGAACTACCGATGCAATTTTTTGCGTGTGGGCCGGAGGGAGCTTTTTTGCTGTTTCCCTGATGATTTCCTCCTATTTTCCTGCACTTTTTCCTAAAAATTTTTTTAGGCACTAACATTCGGATCGCGACCGGGATTTAGTTTGATACGCGAAAAGGACCTACTGATGAATGATAAAGTTTAGATTCATGAAAATGGGGCTGTACTGAAATTCCAGACTCATCGAAGCGACATCCAAAAGTCTTTACCAATTAAAGAGAAAAACGATCAAATGCTTAATATACAAACCTTGATAACCGTAATTCTCGGCTACTAACGACCTACCCGTTACTTCTGCAATCTTGACTTTTCACCGAACAAAATGAAGACCTGCAAATGTCAATTTTACCTGGAAGGCAAATTTCCCAGAAAAATCGTACATTCCACAGGAGTACATGAGTGAGAGGACGTCACGACATGGACGTGGATGAATACAAAGCTCATTCAGTAAGCGGACAAACACCTGAATTACCGAAATGAGCAAGGCTTTACTGATCACGGTAGGAAGATTCTGGAAAGTGCTCACCTCCATTTGCTAAGGTGGCCGCCATCACAGCTGCTGTATCACAGTAGTTTCCAAAGAGCAAGTTTGAAAGAATAGAGATCCAATTTTCCCGAGACCCTAAATTACAAGCGTACTTCAAGATAATTCAATTAACTCGTATTAAAACCAGACTTTCCTTCTCGATATACTGAGTGACGAGTGTGGGAAGCACTTTTCTATTTCATGATGTATGAGGAGGGCATAGTACGATCGGCGGCGGTCTCTTTCAGAGGGAATCTGACAAGCGGGCAAATTGTTTTGCAGAAAATGCGCGTAACGCCATAATCATTCCTAGTGAAGAAAGCTGAAAAAGTGGGTGCTCAACGGGAGGGTAAGCCCCTTGAAACACTCTAAAATGGCCATGATTTTACCCTTAGTGAGGACGAGTTATGTTTTATTGATGCGAATTTAGTTATACGAACACGTGGACACCCTGTGAACTTGCCTAGGCCATCAGACGCTTCGTGAGGTTGACATACGGGACCAAATGGTCTCCAAGAAATCGATTTAATCCTCACTGAAAAGTGGCCATCACCTAAACAACTTGCTAGGGAGGAAGGTCTAGCTTAGGGGGAGGGATTCAGACCCGGGTACCCACTTGAGTAGCGGCACTGTGTACCCATCTGGTCAATACTACCGATTGTGCGGCCAGTTGATGCCCTTAATCAGGGTTAAGGGTTCCTCCTAGACAAGTCTGATAAAGGCCGACCGACCCCAGATTAACTCCTCCATCATTTTGAGATTGAGATTGAGAGAATTTGAACCACTTCGAAGTCCAATCCCACTTCGACAAGTTATACTTTGTACTACGACCTTCCCGTCCTTGATTTGTGTAGCCCCTTGGTATGCCTGTTCCACGTACATTGAACCCTGTCCTCAACTTGCACCTGGGACTAGGCTGGCGAGTGGTATCACGCCTGGATAGTTTCGAGCCATTAATTTAAATAAAGGCTGTTTACTGGACTCACGTTGCGTTATTGAATCCGACATGTTCGCCTCCGGCTAGCTTCCGGTACTCGTTCAAGACAAAATCGAAACGATCGGCCATTGTGAGGTGATTTCGTATCAGTGACGTCACAATGATGGCACCGGCATTGATAAGCGGATTGTGGGGTTTTCCTGCAAAAGTTATTGGTGGAATTGCCTAGCCAGCCACAAAACCCTTAGCGTTACGTTACCGTTAGCATCCAAGCAGATTTCATTGAAAAGTCGGCCACTTGGCTCGTGGCCAACGTACGAATGGACAAAGTCAGCACCCAGATCCGATGACACAATCGCATAGTTGAAATGCCTGAAAATCGATTTTGGAGTTAGAATTTATGAGAACCAACCAACAGGAACAAACCTTTGACACGCTCTGCACGCAGAATGGAACTTTGGAATCACCGAATGAAACCCGTTGCCCGTCAATAGTACAAATAGACAGACCCCAGATGTCGGGGTTTTGCCGAGCCAACTGGGGAATGTACGTGGCTACACTGCCGTCTTTGATATGTCTACACTGAAATATAGACGGATATTCAAGCTCAAAAACCTGTGGTTATAGATTCAAACCTCTTCAAATATGGCTTTGACTTGAGCGCAAAATTCTCCCCAACTTGGAATAATCAGATGATTACGAAGCGCTTGTGAGATCAACTGCATCGATGGTTGAATGCATCTGAAAACGGTACAGATAGAAAAAATGACTCGAAATCAGGATTCAGATGATAATATTTAGGTAACAATTTATTTATTATGTATTTATTTATTTATTTCTTTATTCATATTTATCTGTATCAAATCCAATAATTCTTTCATGTGCCATTTTATTTTGCTCTAATAGTCATGACTCGAATAATATATACTTGCTCTAGAATAAATTCAGGTATTAAAGGCAGTGATCACGATGGCCAGAGGGTGGTCGGTCCTTGTGACGTCATTGAACCCTATTGGTGATATGGACCCGTCAGCGCGGAAGTGGTTGGGACTGCCCCTCTGACCCTTCCTTCAGTGACGCGGGCCAAGTGAACATCACAGACAACTGCACCGGCGCTTTAAAGCCTATTGTGGTCAGTGCCCTTTAAGTTCAAGGGTAATGTTTTTTATATTTTCTGCACCATTTTTTTCGTTGCAGGGCCACAATTTTAAGAAAAGACCAATTGCGTGCGCACGAATCGCCATTAATTTCCTCATCAATGATACGGTAAAGAATTGGGTCCAATTCCATTCAACGCCTCCTTGCCATGGTGCTTATTTCTAACTGTCATATTACAACGGTTTTTCAGGGAACACAGCCGTTGGCCCTTTAATTCCTGAACGATTTGTCACACCCACCTCTCTTTCTGAATAAATATCTTAATACCTGTTGACGGGTATCGATAACGGAATCAGCTCAAAAAACCTGTCAAAAGCGATTTATCAAAGTAATTTCGAAATCGTACTGCGGGGGTTTTCTGTCCGACCATCCAGAAAAGTCGTTCAGAACTTCGAGGCCTCTCAGGTTTTCTACATGTGATAGGGCAACGTCTATGGAGCAATGGAATGAGTTTCCTTATTTTCCGAGGGGCTCACGTGTGATCAGGGAAAAAAGAAAGTATTCCCTCAGAAAAAGAAGTTTTTCGAATTCTATAAACTGCACAGCATTTTTACCCTCCAAAATGCAGTTGCATTCCTTGACCTGTTTTTATTAGTCAAAAATTTTCGACTTATGTGTATGACCGCCAACGGAGAATGGGAGTTTTTATTTCATGAGGAAAATGCAAAATTTGGTCTCCAAGGTAGGGTAGGCAGAGGACTGTACGAACTGGCTATAACCCTTTGTTAGCAAAGTCACTTAGGCTTCATTCAACCCACTGCGCTATAACTTCTTACAGATCTGGTCTTCGCAGAACATTTGCTGGCTAGTGGAAAAAAAAAATGGAAGATATGAATAAGTATGATAATGTGCGTTTTTCTTGGTATAAAAAAAAGTACTGTTATTCTATTTTAGGCTTGAGGCCTGTGGGCGAAGGCAGTACAACGTTTGACGTATTGTCATATATGTCACGTTACCCTACCGCGACCGGTTTGGCAAGGTCGCAGTCCCTGGAACGCAGACCCGCTTTTGGCCGATCTAAAGCTCTACATCTAAGCGGCAGGCCTTTAGTACAAGACTCGTCGAAAAGGTTGACCCAACACGGCTCATAAAATAAGCCCAGTGCAATCGTGAAATCGCTCAGCTGCTACCGCGGTTCTAGATAGAAGTGGGATGCGTAGCGCACCCCAAAAGGGATTGGTAGACCTCGAATTTTTCATCACTTCTATTTTGTTATCAAAGGTCAAGTCCGGTAGAAAACTAGGGCAAACTGCCACACACCCACTCTCCTTTGTCTGACGTTGAGATGAATCATACAGAAACTGTAGATTCACAGAGTTTTCGAAATGTACTTCGGAACGAGTGCGCTGACAATGTAACAACGTTTTACAGTACGTGTACTGTTCTCTATTGATGCCCTTACATGGGACATTGCAAAGTTAAAGAAATCTGACACAACAGTAAGTGTCTTGCAGTTAGAAAATTGTTAATAAAAAGCTAGAGGAAAATTAGAAGAAATAGACGAAGGAAAAGAAAATGCACCAACTCCTTGAATTTGTCTCGTGACAGAAGGAAATTCCGCGCATCATCGTCTTCATCTTCAAAGCTTTTCATCCTCTCTATCATATGTCGCAGCCGTGGATCGGTGTCTCGTAAACCGAATGATTTGAGAACCTAAATTGATGGGATCAGTTCTGACAAAGTATTATTATGAAGAAAAACAGAGAGATTATTTTGATTCATTCTTAATTGTTTTCAAGTTTTTTTTTCAGCTTTTCATTTTTTCCATGCCTTTTCCTAGATATTTTATGAGCTGATAGGAGAAATAAAATCTGACAAAACGAAAACAGCACAGAAAGGGCTGACAAAGGGAATATTGGAAAATGATGTCTTCTAGTGAAGGAAAAAATCAACCCAGTATGGGTTCAGGTAGATAAATCTTTTTGATAGTTAGGATACAGCTGTTCACTGAGGTCGCAGATATTTCGCTCGTTCGGCTTTGAGATGTGCAGCAAGAGCAACGGAGCATGGCGAAGCCTTCTTCAACCGCTTCTATTTTTTCTCGTCGGCATCATCTTGGTGTCTGCACTCTCTCATCCCTTTTGCTCTCCGCCAATGCTCTCTTCTCCGTGCTCAGTCTCTCATAGCCTTAGCATAGAAAACCGAGCAGGCCTCCAGCTTCAGCGTTTTAGACGGACTTGTTTTTTCTTTACAGCTTGCCATACCGCACCGGTGGCGTCGTATCTATGTTCAAGAGCGACACCAATTTGATCCTGGGTGTACCTTTGGACTGAACTTTTCTCGGAGCATTCTGCTAATTTACAAGCTTTTTAGCGCCTTTCCCGACAACGTAGTGCTTAGTGAACTACAGCAATTTCTAAGAGATTCGATTAGTAGTCTTTGGCGCATAAGGAGCATCATGATAGCTTCTGAAATAAGATTTTCAATAAATTAGTCTAAGAGATTCCGGACCCAGGCCTTGCAGTTCTTCCTACCACCCAAGATCTTTATTTTGTTGAGTTGTTATCCCAATCCGATACTTCCAGATTGTTTTGAGAGCAATAGTAGAGTAGTGGGTAAGGGCTCAGCATCAACTAATCCTCTAACACGACGGAGTGACTAGATCCCTAAACTGTTATCAAAGCTCTACGAGCAAGAAAGGAGCTATGCTGGGCACAGGCCCTTATTCCAGAACAAAACAAAACGAAAAGAGGTTTGCAAAAATGCATTCAAATTGCTCGTCAATTTCCAACAAGAAATTAGACGCTTGGCGCAAATCAAAGGCGCTGACCAACGCCAACTTATTTCTCCCTCGCTTTTCAAAAAGTGTGTGTTTATTATTCCTTTATTTATTCATTTATTCAAAGTTATTCATCTAGTATTTACGATTCAAATGAAGCAAACAACAGCACTCACCTTGATTAATTTACTG